ATCATCATTTTTGGTACAATGCAGCAAAACTGACAGTTTGTTCTTATCTGTGTGTATGCCACAGCATATCTCACCTGGCGCCAAGGGCCGCTGTTGTCCATTGATATTCCAGCTCAGTGTGCATGTCAGAAGTGCTTTGTCCGACCGCGCAGCACCGGGGAGACAGTGTTTGACGGCGCGTCTCAATATTTAATTATCTACATCTGCTTCAGAGCAAATAGAATGATCTGTAGCGTCAGCAGATGTGACTGGGCTCTTCTCGAGGCTGCAAAACACATTCAGAAACAACTTCTTCATGCCCTCCGTACACACATGTTCGCTATGTAGCACGTGTGAAGTGAATAAGATGGCACAAGGACACTTTCAGAGCTGAACCACATCTAACAAAATCTGTCTGCTGGCAAAAAAACCCCCCCAAAAAAACCACACGCCTCTGTTTCTGTAAATGTCCCACTCCCGTATCCTGAAGGGTTTGTGACTGCAGCTTCTCTTTTTCCAAGGATTGGGGTGGTTTAGAACACGATTATGCTGCAGGCAGCGAGTCCCACATCAGCAGGCAAATGTTCTTCCAGTCTAATTAGTAAGAAGCTCGGCAGTGTCCCTCTGTCTCTCTGAGGAGAACGTATCAAAAACAACAAACTACCCCTCTCTGGAGGTGGATTAAACACAAAATAAATAAAGTTTGTTGTGATTGCCTTTAAATATTAAAGGGATTTAAGGAGCTTGAGAGTCTCGCCTCAGGTATAAATATATTGAGGCATATTTTAGGTGCTAAATAGAGCGAGGGTTTAGACGTTAAGTCCTTTGCTTCCCGAGTGAAGTGACATATTCTGATTCTGTCTCTGCTTCTGTGTGTGTGCGCGCGCTGTGTTCTTTATGCTAACGTGCTGTAGAATACGTATGCGATTGTGTACTTACAGATTGTGCACCTCGCTCCGGATTCAAATTACCCATAGCGTCATCACAATGATTCAGCAAGGGGCTGAGACTGACAAGATTGTGGCTTCTCCTGGCAAATGAAAAGGCAGTCAGTCGTGCTGTTTTGCTCTCTTCCACTTAGGCTTTCATGAAAGGGAATAAAGGGGGAAACTTATGTTTGACTGTTGAAAAATGTCACACAGATAAAGCCAAAATGGTCTTAATACTTTGTCCAAATCCCCCATGTTCCCATGTAATTATCGATAGTGTTCTTTGTGAAACATGTCCTGGAAATCTGTGATTGTAGTGGACAATGTCTGGTCTCAGTTTCTCTGAGCCCAAACTGGACGGCTATTGACAAAGAGACTACACGCATGCACCGAGAAATAAAAAGAAAAGACAGAGGAAACCAATGAAGAATAAAAGAGAAAGAGTTGGATGGACAGGATGCGAGGGCTTGACACTGGATGGTCAGCCTGGCATTGTCTTGGCACCACAGAATGCACTGATCTTGCACGAGCCATTTATAAGTACTGTGCCAGCAGCTTAGACAGGGAGGATTATCAGACGACACTTTTAGCCTCTTAAGCAAGCCACAATTGCAGCCAGCATGGTCCAAGAGAGCATGAGACAAAGAACTTACAGCGAGGATGAATGCGAGCACAAGGACTTAGTTAAATGTCAGCCAGCTTGTGAATTGTAAATGTAACTTTTTATGCGCTATTGTTTGTGTTGTCTGAGTTGCTCTTTTCTCCAAACAAAACGGGAAAGGCCGAGAGAGGGAGGGGTGCTGCTGATGGAGTGAAGGGGAGAGGAAGAAGTAGGAAGAAACATCGCCGGTGGGTAACTGCCACTGGACGGTTGTTGCTAAGCGTTTAATCTCCCACGCTTGGAGAATACAAACGATCTTGTAATCGTCCCCGACCTTGACATGAACAGCAAGGTCACAGGGGAGCTGGGCTATTTTGCATTTCCCACAGATGCTTCGCCGAGACACGCAGAACAATTAGTAAACTGGATAAAAAGGAATTGAGTCTGTCTTACTCCCCGCATCCTCCTCAGTCCCCTCCTCATGTTCCTCCTGGGGGAAGTTACCTGGCAAACCCCCAACCCGCTGCTTCCTTCGCTTCTTAACACTTAATTATGATAAAGAAGTAGTCGGACCTACTAAGGCAGGTCAGACTGCACGTACCTGTGGGCTATGCTGGTTCTTTTTGCAGATACTGATTATTCTACCAATTATTTCTTATTTGTGGATTTATTCTTTAGTGTATACAATGAAAAAATGGCCATCACAAGTTCCTAATTTAATGTCTTTAAATTGCTTTCCCAAGTAGTGAGGGCTAACAGTAACTGTAAAAGTTTTGCTAATTAATCATTATGACCATTAAGTGATGGACTAATTGTAAAGTAGTTTTGTTATTTGACAGTGTTTGCCTGCTCTATGTTTTAGGCAGTGACTGAATACAGAAAGTGTATACGCTTGGCTGCGACACCTGAGTAGGACGGTGCAAGTGTATTAATGTATGTGTTTTTGTGTGTATGCGCGCCTGTGTGCCTCTGTGCGTCGGCTCTCAAATCGGCCTCATGCAATTAAGGGACTTTTGTCCTCCGACAACAGCGCATTACCTCTATTATTGAATATGCTGAGAGTTGAGATATGATTATACTCCAGGCAAATTGAATTTCTGTTTTCAGCAGTTTGATTATAAGAGCATGGACTGGGCTCTTTTAAGTTAAGCCAGTATGGTTTTTAGCCTTATATTCCACAGAAGGATAATAGAGCTGACCCCGTCTCAGCATCTTAACTGACTCAGCTTCAAAACAGCAGGAACACAATGGCCATCAAGTCCCTCCAAGACGTGTATTTATTTTCTTGTAATAGTAAAACATTCACAGTGTCCCAGAACTGGAATGAAGTGTAACGGGCAGCAACTTTTAGAATGTTGTCGGAGAAGTTTATTTTTTCTAGTTGCTAGAATTATACTTTCCTTCTTACCCTTTCGTAATGTTTTCATTTCTACCTCGCCATTGAGTTTATTCATGCCATGCAATTTGTCTCTCGCAGCGCTGCAGCCAACAGTCATCTCATTTATGATTGCCCTGGTTTCCATGGCAAATAACAGAGCTTGTTCACATCAAAGGTTAACAAAGAGACAGGCAGAATGCTTGGAAATTTTAAAAGAAGACTCAATGATAAAAGATAACAGACACAATTAGGGCAAAGCTTTGCTCTTACACAGAAAGTTTAGTTTTTTAATCTGATCTCAGAGCAGTATGTTTTAAAGGAATGCCCAGCCACAGGCCTGTGATGGCTGCATTCTTCAAGTTTTCAACTACTTTTTGACATTTGTATATTTTGTAACAGCTTGGACAGAATGTGTGGGAGTTCAGAGGTTCTAATCTACTCTAATGGTGAATAAAATGGTCTTTATAGAGCAAAGAAAAAAAATAAACTGTCAGAATGACTAAAAAAACATCATTACCATCAACTATATGTCATTATTATTAATCTACATTATAGAATGCATTTATTTCCTGATAAAAACACATAGATATATTTAATGTTATATCAAATCAACTCTGGAGTTGCAGCTCTGCCAATAAAGTCAGTATTGTGAGTGCCTGCGTGGGAGTATTTCATGTTTCATAATATTGATTGAGCTTCCTCATGATTATATGAATAATGTGTAAACTCTGGGAAGGTTTTTCAAGCTCATATCTAATTAATTACCTCTAACTCCCATTAGCAAGATGGAGTTGAGCGGCACCAAATTCTTGGCTTGTACCTTTTTAAGTGTCTTGTTTTGATGGCAACAACCCCACAGGGCACGGGAGGGGGGCTCAGATCACAACAAGAGAGCAGGGGTTCCGGTCAAGCGCATGGAGTCAGGAAAGATCAATCCAAGGTGGAGCATGTGGCTGGATCAGCAGCTTTTTGACTCGCTTTAAGTGCAGATAGATTAAATCAGAGGGAAGAGGCGAGGTGTCCCAGGCAGTGAGCAGTGATGATGGAGATGCTTTTGTGTGCAGCTGGGCGTGTGTGTGCGTGTGTGTGTGTATGTTGGGAAGTAGCTGACACAAAAATATAGTTAATATGTAGATTTGTCTGTGTGTTTGTTGACAGGAGTTAGAGCCGGTAAGGCAGAAGGTGTCAGCTTTAGTTTAAATTTGAGTTCTCCTACGTCGTCAACTATGTCTATGATTGTGTGTTTGTATACACATGTGCATATGTACGTGCGAATAAGTGCAGAGAAGTGTTAATAGGGACACCTGGCTGTTGGATTTGTAGAGAGTTCAGCGGGTTCTTCTTGTTAGCACTGTCTCATAACTGCAATCAGGTTTGGAGGTGTTTGGTTCTTCGTTTTCTATTTCTGGTGCATACTGTATAAAACATGTGACTGTGTTATAAGTGATATTTTTTCCGGTGTTTTATTACAGTCATGTATCTATAGCAGGCTTCGATTGGAATTTGCATTTAAATTTTCCATACAGACGGACATATTGGGAAATATATTGTTGTCAAGCAGTGCCTTTATTGTCAAAAATGATGACATAGCTTCTATTTCCCAAAATAAATGACCCCAAAACTGAGGAAAATGCCAAATTTTATACATTTGCTTGTAGGTCTGTAGGTCTGCAGAAAGCAGACAACTTTAATTTTTCACATTTATTTTCTTTCGTGGCTTTCAGAAATTACAGTAGCAAAGAGGGCCCCCTGGTTGCAGTTTCATGTTGTTTCTTTTAATTTTGTTAAGCTACATCTTGTCTAAAGAGAAGCTTTCTTGCTATTGGCTACACTAGACACCATTTTTGTATTTTCAAAGAGGACAGATCTATGAGAAAGCAATACTTTTTGTCTGCCTCAGCCCAAAATTTGGGATCTGTGCTGATGAGACAGATGCATTTTATTTTTGCATTGTGCCGCTTCAGCTGATCTCTATCTCTGTCCTTGCGACTGTTTCAGAGTCATATAGACAAGTTAAAATTGAAGGATTTTCTCTCATAAGATTTTATGACCTTGCATATTTACTCTCACACTCTCTATGAAAATAAAGCTCTTTTGTCTCTCCTTCTTCCAGCCCTCTCCGACCCAGACGGTGGTCCCTGCCGGAGGACCTACTGTGGACGGGGCCGGCAATGCGTGCTGATGGCAGCAACCGGGCGTGCCGAGTGCGTTTGCCAGGAAAAGTGCCGTCCCTCCTTTGTGCCGGTGTGCGGCTCAGACGGCAGGTTTTACGAGAACCACTGTGAGGTTTACCGCACCGCCTGCCTGGAGAGGAGACGGATCTATGTGGTGCACAGCAAGGACTGCTTCTTCAAAGGTACCACTAAAATCAATTCACTTCTATTTATGTAGCACCAGCTCACAACTTAGGTGATCTCAAGGCAGTTCAAGGTTAAGACCTTACAAAATGACAGTGTTGCATTGCTGCACAGGGTCAAAAAGATTGAGTTCATCAATTTTTTTTGACATGTTAACATCAATATTTTAAAGTCTAGTTACTTATCACGATTAAAATTATGAAATGACACAGAGGAAGTATGCATGCTATGCCATTGTTGTCATAAATGCAGGTGGCTGTCCAATTTAAGATTATATTTCCCACAACAACATGTTGCCGCTTGCCCTCCCTGGCATTTCATCAGGTGTGTTGTTTTATCCTTTTTTTTTTCAGTCTGTCTTTTATTTAATCCACCATCTGCTGTTGCTCAAAAACGCTGGAAGCACTTTGTTTTTGGGGTGTATTTGAGGAACAATGGCCTCTTTATGTTTTTGGCAACGATTTACCTCACCAAAGCTGACCCAGCTAAAAAGCAAAATTGCCTTTCGGGATGTTTAAACAGTATTTATCTCAACAATAATGTGAGGGTTGAATGATTGAGTTAAAATGTTGAATACAACACTGTTCATTTCTTTATTGACCCTCTGAACCCAAGCAGCTTCTGGGTGTTCTTTGCTGCTGTCACATTTCTATTTGCTAAGGGCTCATTTTTTCCCCTGCATTATAAAGGTCTGGCACCTCAATGGAAGCAGCACAACCAAGTAGAGAGAACTCACAGGTCATAGAAAAAGTAATGTAGATCTTTTGTTTTTTTTCTTTATTCATTCATGATAAATACCTGAATTCAATATGGATAACATTCTTCCAAATGCCCCGTTTTTACCATGACTGGGAAAAAATGGCGGCTATAGATATTTTACGACTTACAATCTCTACAAACACGGTATGTTTCACACCACTATGCATAATAACTCCAGGAAGACATTTCACCTTAAATATATCGTCCAACAACTTCCTTTACAACTTACTTCTCTGTATAGTATTTTTGAACCATGCTGGATTTATTTAGTTGCTCAAGTATCTTCTATTTTTCCCTCTCAAGCTCTCTTATTTATTTGCATATTTGTTGTCTCGTTGCTCTGTGTAAACAAGGCCTGCAGCTCAGCCAAATAGTACCTGAATTTTTGTTACGTGACTGTTGGTCGCAGCTGAATTAGTCATTTTTTCTCAGTGGTGCTGAACACGTGTTTGTGTTTTTTAAGATTCTGGTGCAAACAGTTCACTTTTTATGAAATACGACATGTAGAAAATAGTAGTTTCAATAATATATTGCAATTTTAAGGTTAAGTTTGGTTCCATTTCCCAACAGAACCACGCACCACGCATGATTCGTTCAAAGCTGTTAATTTTCACAACTTCTGGCTCTGATAAATGGTGCCATTTGGTCAATTTTGAAAGCTCACAAACCTGTTAAACCCACTGGTGGATTTTGGGGTTCAGAGGCTTAAATGAGCTTTGAGCAAAGTAGCTGCAAAGATAATATATACAGTAATTTATTAATATTTTCATATTTTTTGATAGCAGTATCAAAACATGTCTAGACAGCTGTGATCAAAAGAAATTACTGCACCTCTCTGGTACAGAGAAAGAAAAAACACATTAAGAGTGAGTAATCATCATTTAGGTTGTTAAGGTTTGAACTTGTTTGGAGTGTCGCTGCTGCTGTACAACAACAAGAGCACAGCGATGTTGCACAGCAGCTGTATCTGTGATGACTCACTGCATCACCGAGTGTGGCACAGGTTCACGCTTTTGAAGCTTTTTGTGAGTGAAAATTGCCCTCAAATGATATCTTGATACCTGCGAGGCACACGTCTGAGCAATTCTGAAGGCTATACCGGGGCTCTGACGTCGGTTTGATGTTGAAACATTTAAACAGAAATAGAGTTGTACAGACAAGCAAAGCAATTGTTTTGTACCTTGTTGCCAGCTGTCAAGCTCCAGTCACAAGCATCAATCACTGTAAAAATCACGCTGTTTCTGTCAGCCACCTATTCAGTAGAGATGAAAGAATTAAATCATCTGTAGTTTGGTGCTGAAGGCTGTGGCCCGGGGTCAGGCTTGTCTGGGAAAACGATAGTTAAAACCTCACATTGGCACTTGGACAGAAGGCCATTTGATCAGGTGCCGTATTTGTCTCTCCTGTGAGGTCTGCTGCAGTAATTATGCTGCTGTCAGTACAAGTCAGCACACTTAGTTGGCAGTCGGCCCTAATCACAAACACCAGCGTCTAAATCAGTTGTTGTGGCACCTTAAAAGTTGATTTAATGATCAATGCAATTGTGGAAGAGGGAGTTTTCTCTTCGAAGGAAAGCTATGCTCAGTCAGTGCAAGTTCATCATTAACAGGCTTTCTTGCATTTAAACCTGTGGTACAAATTAAAGGCTTCAGTGATCATTTTTGGATATTTTCACATATAAATGCTTAAGTCCACACACTGTATTACCACTGAGGCACCACTCCCCTCTACTGCCTACATCAATACCCTGGCTCGTACAAATCAAACCACTAGGTTACAGGGGATCACCAGTTCTCTATAGTAAATCATTATAATCCTCACTCCCTGACTATCCCTCATTAGCAAAATTGCCCTGTCAGCATGAACAGTCAGCATTATTATCCAAAACGGCTCACTCGCTTCATCATGACTTTGATTTTAAAAGACAGCCAGGCCAGGTTGGGCTTTTTTTTTTAAAACGCAGATTTTATGTTTTTACAACTACTGATTTACAAGTTTTTACATGCACATGTGTAGCGAACCTGTGGGTGTCTCCTCATCTTTAAAAGTTGCTTTTACGGTCAGACTAGTATTAGACATGTTTTATACTCCCTCAGGGTGTGGATTTTGAAATAGAAAGTGAAGCAATAGTTATCCGAAGTGCACGGTTTCATGTCTACGCAGCACAAAAAAGAAGCCAGACGCACACACACACACACTCACACCAACATAGCAGCACTTTCAGTCATATCACATTAGGGAGTGAAGGATTTCTGGCAGACGACACCATGCATAGCTAATCCACATTAGAGATCTTCAGTCGGCACATTAGGCTTAAACTTGATGTCTGAATGCGAACCAGCAGGAGATGGAAAATGTTGGAAATCAGTCAGATGTCATGGGAATCATGTGTGTGCCTCCGTGAATGGGAAGTTATTATTGCACCGGACGCACAAAGACTTCACTGGAGGTCTCACAGCGGTGCGCTCAAGTCATTGTTCAAAACCACAGTTCCTTTGTATAACCAGCAGAGGAAGCGGAGAGGTCGTGCAGTGGTTAACTTGTTTCTGCACATGCCACTGTCCCTGCCTGTCTGTTAGTGGCCTTATTCTGCTTTGTTTACCTGACTGCATCCTCGCAGTCTGGCTCACCGCTTGAATCCTAAAAATATCAACACATCCTTGTTTGCAGCTGGTGTAACTCATCCGAACGCTGCTGTGGGCAACCGAGCCGCATTGAACCCTTTTCCTTAATTTGTGTCATTGTTTCAGTTAGCAGGTGCTCCAGTACTTCGATGGATAATTACCAAATATGTCAACATGTAAAGGCGAGAAAATCTGTTGCAGTAATTGCACCGAGATAGCAAAACAATATAATATAGACAAATGGCTATTACTCACTGAGTGGTATATTGTTGCTCACTTACAGTGCCATTAGTCTTCGAAAAATAAACTCGATAAAACTGCATTTTTGCCCTCTTTTGAACGTGCTGATTTATTTTTTAGTTTCTTTCTTTTATTTGTTTTATTTTATATTCTGTGGTACTTTTTTGGCGCATCATTAAATTTTGGATGCCAAAAAAGTTTCTTCCTCAGTCTGAGACCAAGACCTCCACAGTCACAAATGGATCTTTTGGATCCCTAGAGCCATATATTAAGCCAAAAATCTTTTTTTGGAAAGGGGAGAGAGAATTTGCTTTCAAATTTGCTTTCAAATTTGATAAACCTAAAAGCTCAGCTGTGAAAGCCTCTTTCCTTCAGCTCAGGGCTATGGCCAAAGCCACAGTGTCAAATTTGGCTTGTAGTTATGCCGGCTTTCGTTTCATCATATCTGGGCGATTGTGATTCACTCGACACAGTCAGTCCACAACTCTTCACTTTGGAAAAAGAAAGAGGAACTGTTTTTCTATTGTGCTGACCTTTCTTTTTTTGGCTTCCACTTAGGGAGATGATTTAAGATTTTGTTTACGCATAAAGCTTGGAATAGTTTGCTGCATATTTACAACCTCTTTTGTCACAGTTCCACCACCAGGTCACTTTAGACATCAGACCAAATGTTGCTTAAACCCTCCGAGTCCGACAGAAGCACTTTTCGTTCTCATTCACATCCTCTGTTTCGGTTAATTTACTCTGAAAGTATTCAGTGCAGCGAATTGTAGCACATAGTAAATGAAACCGCACGATTTGACCTTTCCAACAATACCAGTTGCTTGTCTGTGCGCTGATGTGTCAGTGATAAAAATAAGCAACCGTTTTTCATACTAATCCCGCTAATTAATACATTTGATGCGAGAAGCCACACTGGCTTCAGTGTTACGTTTAATTTTAAAACTATAACACGTTGCATCAGTTGTTAACGAGGTTCAGCAGTTCTGGCAGCTAACAAGTCACTAATCACCACTGTCACCACTTTATCCAACATTTTCCAACCTTTTTCCAACAACTTAGCTCTCCTTTTTGTGAATTTTGCACAGTTGTGTTATTTTTTTAAATTATTGTTCATGTTTTTGTGATTCTGTATGTATCCTGCAATGTCAAAAGTTTTTATCTGAGCTTCAGAGAAAAAGTTGCCTTTTTTTTAAGGAGAGAAGGCAGCTCTCCTGTAGTTTTATGTTTTTAATTAAAATTTTATTTGATTTTTTCCTCAGGCAGTGGGGAGAAACAGGAGAGGTGGTTTAATGGTTCAAACTACCGTAGACCTGTTGAGGCAAACATAGTTGCCGAGGCGAAGGAGTTTACAGCTCGACTATCCATGGGTACCC